TGCTCCAAATTCCTCTTCTTTGGGAACATTAGGGAGAAGAGATTACATATGATTGCTTGGAAATCTGTTACTTTGCCTAAATCTAAAGGTGGATTGGGCTTGGCCTCCTTTGATTCTATTCAGCACAAGATGATTTGCTCTTTTATCTTTAGAATGTACAATGAGAGTAATTTTGTTGGTGATTGGTATAGAGGAAAATTTGACTCAATCTGGGAAACACCCCCTACATATGCTTCAAAATTTTGGAAACTTGTTTGCCAAACTACTGCCTCCTTCCCCCACAATGTCACGCTATCTGTACACCGGAATTGCAAATTGTCTTTCTTATGGGATCCTTGGTGTGATAATAAACTGGTTGCTGATTTTTACTACTCTCCCAGTTTGGCACATTTAAAGGTTAATGAATGCATCACTCATAATCAATGGACACTTCCTGATTGTGTTCCTTCTACCTCCAGAACTATTATTATGAAAACTGCTATTGGGGAGGAGCAACCAGTTCTTTACTGGGACGGCTCCTCAAATCCCTCTTCTAGGGAATTTATGTCGTCGTGGAATGACGACTTGGAGGATGTTGTTTGGAGTAAGTTTATATGGCACAAAGGATATGTTTTGCACTATGCCTGTTATGCGTGGATGGCTTTACTGGGGAAATTAAAAACGGCTGATAACCTTATTTCGAGGGGTATCTTGGTTCATGATGGTTGCTCTTTTTGCACTGCTAATTTGGAATCGCATTCTCATATGTTATTTGAATGTGATTTCTCATTTTCCATTCTTACGGCTTTATTCCCTTTGATGACATCATTCTACCTTAGACCAAATCTGTTACAAGCATATGATTATTTAGGGAATTTGCGATCCTTTGACAGAACTGATCGGAACTTCTGTTATTTTTCTATGGTTGTTTTGGTTTATTTCCTTTGGCGTGAAATAAATAATAGACGTTTTTCTGGGAATTGGAGGAGCCCAATTGATTTAAAATTTACTATTATTCATGATATCAAGGCTAAAGTTTCTCACTGGAAGCATTTTGAT